GATGGTTTAGGGTTTGTCAGGGTTAAGCGGCTTTATGGTGCGCATAACTTTGGTTAAAAGCGAGGTGGCCAAGACAAGGAACTACATATGGATAGTGCACGTGGGCCGTTATACAATTGGGAATACTATCCCGCCATAACCCTAGCTTTCCCTCTTGCATGACTAGGGGCGAATATGGAGCTTAGGGTTTAAATACCACGACGCCCTATTCCATCGTGAAGTCCGAGGCCAGGCAGCTCAGTGAAAGCCAGGCCCTCTAGAGAGGACCCTGGGCGGTCGCGCATGAGCATTGCGCTGAGTTCTGGCGAATGCCGAAGCAGACGTAGGTCCTCGACTGCCCCAGGTTTTTCTTTTTTCGGGATTTAAGCTAATAAGGGCTTAAAACTACTGCTTCCCTGAATGTTTGAGAGGTTTTGAAAGGACTTCTTAGTTAAATGTCCCTGGTTTACGGGCTGTGATTTTCAACTGGCTACAGTAGCCGGCTACTTCCATTCGAGTCCCCTTTTTGTCTGGAACTCCTAAATACGCTCAGGCAGGTGGCGGTGGCGGTGGCGGTGCTGGTCTAGTGCTGGTGCTGCTGCCGATTCTGGGTGACCGTGTTTGGTATCCAAGCTATATTTTTTGAAACTCTGGCTCGGCTTCACCCCCTCACTCGCGACGTCTCTCTGTCCACCTGAACCATGTCAGGTCCATCTTCCCCACTGCAGAGTCTGAGCACCCAACATTCTGCACTTGGTGTTCAGGCCCAAAAAGCCGACCCGCTTGAACAAACGATGATAAGTTCCATCGAAGATAGAAGCCGGCACTCCAATCCCACACAAAAGGCTACAACGCACAAACCCTCTGACAAGATCTAACACCCCGAAAGTGTTCAAGAAACCCTGAACCAGATAGTAAAAGTTGCATAAGCCAGTATAAACCCAGTAAGGCAAACCATTCAAACTATGCCAAGACTAGGCAGAAACCTTATTTCTACATGCTAACTTTGCACAAGCGCTGACGCGACGAAGCCGCAGACTGATCTGTTTTGAGACGGAACTGCAGTGCATTTAGTCCTAAACCTATGGCCCATAAAGGGCAAGGCTGAGGCCCAAAGACACTGAAGCTCAATCCATCCCTCGGTTCCCTCTCAAATGCCTGGTCTAGCTCGACGACAGCGTCGCTCATGAGCCTCTCTGTGAGTTTTTGTTGAGACTACAGGGTCCGAAACAGTTAGAACAGGGACTTGGGCGGCCGCTCCCTTGTCATTGTCGATCACTATACGGAGGAGTGTCACTAATTCTACAGACCTTTACGTTAAGGTTGTTCCGGGCACTCTTTTGTTGTCGGCGCTGCTCTGAGGCTTTTGGGGTAAGGAATGCTGGAATGGGTGTCAAATGCAAAGAACTTAGAGGTCAGGCGTACGTTTCGAGGTTCACAGGGTCTATAGGGCCTGGGACGTACGTCAGATTTTCTTGAGGCTGTGGCACTTGCATTTGCAAGTGTTCAGGGTGTACAGCTTGGGCTTGGCCGTTCTCCCTCCGGTCCGCGAGCTCTGCTATTCATCTCAGCGTAGTGATGGCCTTGGGTTTTCTAGGCCAACTATTCTCTGAAATGTTCGAATCAGTGACTGAAAGTGGTGAACACACATCCGAGCAGCTAAATGAAGGTTCCGTTTTACGATAGGGCTTAAGAGCCTTGAGACCACTTCGACTCGCACACTCGCGCAAGGCAGGCAGTCACCCTAAACCCTAAACGCCCAAACCCCAAACCCTAAACCCCAAACCCTAAACCCTCAAACCCCAAACCCTAAAACCCAAGCTCGGGTCTAAGGGCTGGAGCTCGGGTCGAGGGCTGACTGTCGCCTCTTTCCGGGCTTGCGGATTTGGGTTTATGGTTTGTAAGGTTTGTAGGGTTTGGGGCTTAGGGCTTGGGGTTTAGGGTTTCGGGTTTTAGGGTTTGTAGGGTTTGGGGCTTAGGGTTCAGGGTTTTTTCCCTCCCACTTAGCAAGGACGAGCCCGCATTGCAGGGTTGGGGTTTAGGGTTTATCTTCCAGCCTTGCCAAAGACCATCCCAACACCGAGCCGGGACCCCGAAATGTGCCACACTCTACCCTAAAAGCGCTCTTAGACCCGGAAGCCGTCAACCCTAAACCCTTCTTAATTAAACACCCTCCACCCTTTTTGTTAAAAACGCTTAACCCTGAACAGAAACAGAGGTGGTCGCCTCAGCAGCATCGACACGGCAGATAGATCCGAGGACATCCGGCTATTTTCCCGACCCATCTCGGCCCGCTGCCCTATCCAGCCTTGGTGGCCACGCAGGGTTTAGGGGTGTAAGATTTGGGGGTTTAGGGTTTCAGCACTCACACTCGGACATGCCTAGGTAGGGGTTTAGGGTTTGGGGGTTGAGGGGTTGAGGTGTTTAGGGGTTTAGGTGTTTGGGGTTCAGGGGTTTACGGTTTAGGGCTTAAGCTTTAGATGTAGAGTCTGTAGGAAGGGCCTTGATGTTACCGTCCGCAACAACGCCGAACCCTGAACCGTAGACCAACACAAAGAAAACCCATACCTTTCCAAGGAAGGAGCCTGTTATGGAAATCAAACAAAGACTCCTAATCATGCAGGTTCTTGAGGTTTAGGTAGTCCGGCGCCTTGATACCAGGAGGAACCCAGGGGGAAATTAGCCAAGCCCTCCTCCTGCTCGGAGGTCTACTGCCAGGTGCTTTTTTTCAGGATCTTCGTTGGCTTTGGCCCTAAACCCTAAACCAAAATCCTAAACAAAAGATCCAGCTCCGATGTGATGGAAAGCCAAACTTAGGAACTGAAGCCTGAACCTTGCCTTATGAGGTGTTTAGGGTTTCATAAGGCTATCAACGTATAGCTTCTCTTCAGGAACCCCAAGGTTTAGCACTAATCACTATTCCCCTACGGTAGATGGCTATAGACTTCAGCATGTATCGGATTTGGAGGGGGAAGCCTTCGGCTGCAGTGGAAGCCGAGGTTCAGGGTTAAGGGCTTGGTGTTGGCAGCACATCGGGTTGGGTTTAGGGTTTAGGGTTTAAGGTTTATGGCTGGGCTCGGCGAACGTCTGTGCCTTATAAATTAAATTCAGAACAAGATTGTTTTTGCGTTATGACAGGGAACCCCGAGGGAATAATCAGTATTCGGAGTTACTCCGACCCCGAACGGTCACACACAGCCCTAAATCCATACAAAGCCTTACAGCGAACCCCCAGAAAGTTGGACCATAGGTTTAGGAGGATCAGTGCTAGGACCGGCCCGCTATACTTTATAACCTTAAGGGCATGAGCATATTGATGTTCCAGCTGTCTAGCTTCTACTGTAAGGCTCGAAGAAATCAAGCAAAATCTGAGTGAACACCTCGAAAAGTCCAGAGCCTTAACAAGCCTAGATAGGGAGACAGCCTAAGTCCCTAAACCCTAAACATCCCTAAGCCCTAAACCCCGAAACCGGATCAAACCCAAACTCTAAACCCCTAAACCGTATCAACCACAGACACCAAAGTCCCTAACACCTAGGAGATTTGACAGAAATCTACACTCAAGGCAAAATAAAAACCTCGACACTGAAAACCTTAGAGCCTGAGAGGCCCCTCAGAGAGTCGTTTAGGGTTTAGGGTTTGGGGTTTAGGGTTTTGGGTTTGGGGTTACTGGTTCTTCAACCATATGAAACCCTCCAGAACCCCTCAAAATTCCCTTAAAGCACACTTTGAATCCCGAAACTCTAAACCCTGAACCGCCAGAAAGAACCCCTTATGGACACTCACAAAGAAACACCTGGACCTAGACCGTAAACCCTCAAGTCTATACCTTAAATCAGAACCGAAACACCATAAGCGCCACAATAGTAGCAAGAGATGCAGTTCGAATACTATATCCAGGAAAGACCCCTTAACCCTAAACCCTACCTGGACCCCAAAAGTATGTAGAATAATAGCCTTTTATGGGTCTTGGGCCATTATTTTACCTACTTTTGCGGGTTTAGGTAAACTATCAGCCCCAAACCGGAACTGTGCTAAGTAGCGATCCCGAAACCGTGAGGCCTAAACCGTGGGCTCTTAGTTCTCAGGCTCTCAAACGGCCCGTACCCGTCAAAGCCGAGAACTGGGTTCTTGCTAATAAGGGATTTAAGCTAAGCCACCATAATAGGGATCTAGAGCACATAATATAGGTTCCTTAATATAAGGCTTAAGTTAAATGCCCTTAACAAGAACCCAGTAGAAACGGTTTGTTCTGTCTGATTCTGTATCCCTAAGGGTCCAAGTGCCCAAATAGTAGGATTTCAAGGCCCGAAAACCATTCAGATCATGGATTTTGGAAACTAAACCACTACTATTCGGGTACATGGACCCTCTGGGTATAGTCTTTCGAACGATGGTCGTCGGCTTGTATGGACTATGGTTACAAACTATGTCGGCCCATATACTACTATTATGGAATTAGGTCCATTGAAATTGTGTTGGTCTGTTTGGACCGAGTTCCATACTGGCACTATGTGTGAACCCTCTCGGCATTTAAAGATCCTCAGTCATGAACCTCAGCTTGCCACGTGTCATTCCTTTGCAACTGTAAGGTAGAGGGCTGAGATTTAGAGGTCGGAAGAAGCACGAATAGTATCCCGATATAGTTCCCGTTAAAACTATATGCTATCATATACCATCACACCCTGAATCACTGAAGCCCAGAGATTGTCCAAGCCTAGGCTTATTTCTTGACTCTCTGGCTGTGCAGGTGGATACAGGCATACTTCCAGCAGAATCTATACTCATTAAGCAACCCTAAAGCCTACAGCCAAGACCCTAAACCGGCCTAACCCCCTACACCGACTGTCAGGGCTGTTTGATTTAGAGCCCGAGTTGGTGCTCTCCGAGCTTGGCTGCGTCTCTCAGACAAATCCCCACGTGCTTGTGGCTAAAGTAATATGAACAGCACTGCAACTGGGTTGCCCATGGATAATATTAAATATTCCTTTTCACCTCGGAACATGCAGAATTCATCTGCGATGGAGCCCTGTCTCGTCGGCGACTCGTGGATCTTGGATCCATATGAAAATGCGGGTCAACATGTAGGGAGCATCATCACTTTCTGGTCAATGTCCTTCCTGATGCTGTTGCATTTGGGCGCGGTTGCCAAAGGCGCCAGGAAGGATGGGAGAACGCGTGCCGTTCCAGTGCTCCTCACGATATTTTTTTTCTGCAGCTTCGTCTCCGCTGTTCTCCAAGCGGTGTCCCACAGCTTCAGCACTGGCACTACAAAGACTCAGCTTCTGCTCACGGCCCGGTTGTGGATGGGCTTCGCTGCGGGAACCTGTCTCTTTCTGGGAACCAGCATTGGGGAAGCTGGGTTCTTCTTAGGGGATTTAATTTAAGTTAACATAATAAGGAAACCATATTATTTACTGTGGATCCCCATTATGGTAATTAACTCAAATGCAATCCCTGACCATAATAAGGAAACCATATTATTTACTATAGATCCCCATTATGGTAACTCAAATAAAATCCCAAAACAAGAACCCAGGAAGCCCTGATGGCCGGCAACCGCGAAATGGCAGCCCTGCGGACTCTCAATTGGGTCTTCTTCGTGTTCGGGGCCGGTGCCTCTGTTTTGGCCACTTAGTAGCTGAATGAGTATACTGTTGAATTTTTTTGATATAGTATGGTCATGTATTCAGAACTGAAAGTATACATTGTTTGGGCCTTATGAACTGAACTCAGCAACTCAGGTCTTGGCACTGGCTTCAGATGGCGATGATCTCGTGCAAGCCGCAGTGATGAGCGCAGCCTTTCTGTGGGCAGACGCCTTCTGGATCGCCACTTGTTTGAAGATGCAGCGGGAAGGCTCCATCCAAGAGAAAAGTATATTCTTGCCGAAGATTGGCGGGCCGGTCCTCATGGCTCTGGCCTTTTGGATTCTTGCAATCTTGGAACCAACTTGCGGTGCTAAAGGCCATTCAGATTGCTACAAATCCTGCTCCTTAGTAGCTGAGTAGGTAACCTTTAACCTTTTTGGGCTTATATATATATATATAATCCTACCATAATTGAAAGGGTTAACTTTTTTTTTTGGGCTAGGCTACTCGGCCCCTAAGGCTCTGTCGGCGGCCCCGGAGTGGGCCCTGGATTACCACACGTCTTCTTCCTGGGATTTTTTGTATTCGGGACTTTTAGTTTGGTCTACGCGCAGGAGAAGGCTCCGGACAAGACTTGTTTGGACTGAAGGGCCTTAGTAGTAGACTAGGTGACCTTCAACCTTGTTTGTACCATGACACTATATATTCTTACATCATACATCTTCGCCCTAAACCCTAAACCCTAAACCCCTAAACCCTAAACCCTAAACCCCTAAACCCTAAACCCCAAACCCTAAACCCCTAAACCCTTTAGCTCTCTTAATGTGCCGGTTCAACTGGGAGGCTGTCTCAAGGGCTGCAGGCCGGTGCAATCACTCATGTGGGGGGGGGGGGGGGGCCAACAATGCACCCAGAGACTCCAATATTTAGGGGTTTAGGGGTTTAGGGTTTAGGGGTTTAGGGGTTTAGGGGTTTGGGGGTTTGGGGTTTAGGGTTTAGGGTTTAGGTATCCCTTAATGAAGGAATTGCATATACCTCAAATTATAATCGGAACCCTAATAAGATTTAAGGAATATTCCTGAATTATGGTATATTGGAGTCTCTGGGTACCTGTCAAGTATTTCAAGAGACGGTCGTTTTCAATATTCAGCCTGCCCATGAGTTGGCGCATTAGTTATGAAATGAAGCGAACTTAGGGTTCCTTATATTACCCTAAGGGTCCATGTAGCCAAATAGATATACATAGGCCCCAAAGTACCCAAATAGGGACTACATTAAGGCCAAAGTATATCTATTTGGAGACATGGACCCTTAGGGTTATAGACCAATTATTATTACTATATTATTCTAATTACTATAAGCCTATAGTACCTCTTCTGGGTCCGGCAGTGAGAGCTTGCAAATTCGCATTTCCTTTGCCTCCTTTCACCAAATGGTGAAATGGCGGTTTCCGGAAATAGGGGACCTTAATATAGTACCCTAAATAGTAGGATCCTTATTATAAGGACCCCAAAATAAGGTACCCTAGTTTTCGGAAACTCCCAAATGCAGGCCGCCTGAAGTTTGCTACTGGAAATCTGTCCCAGACAGGGGGCTACTCGCAATTGAAGGAGTTTAGGGTTTAGGGTTTAGGGGTTTAGGGTTTAGGGTTTAGGGATACTACCAAGAGAGACTCACCCAAATGGTGGACACTAAATCTTAGTAGTAGAATACGTAACTTGTTTTTTGCTCTTTTGGGTTACCAAAACCTTTACGTGAACCTTTAGTTCCCTTAGATACTGGACAAGCAAGCACTAAACTCAACCTTAAACCCTGAACCAAGAACCTTAAACCCTAAACCCATAATGTCATAACCCTAAGCCGTAAACTCAAAGCCCTAAACCCATAAAACTAAACTCTACCCTAAGGGTCCATGTAGCCAAATAGATATACATAGGCCCCAAAGTACCCAAATAGGGACTACATTAAGGCCAAAGTATATCTATTTGGATACATGGACCCTTAGGGCTACACTTTTTTGAGCTGACGAAGGCCCGAGACCTGGAGAGTTTGGCCGTGGCCTTCGCCACGGCCCAGATCCGTGCCGATGCTCGGTCGACTATAGTCATGACCTTCAGGATTTAGGGGTTAGAGTGTAGGGCTGAGGGTTTGAGGCCTGGGGTTTAGGGTTTGGGGTTTACGGTAGTTTAGGCTTTTGGGTTCAGGGTCTAGGGTTGAGTGGTGCCCTTTCAGAATTTAAGGGATCTTACATATATCATAAGGGTTCAGGGGGTTCCACAGGTTTGTAACTGTTTTTGTGTAAGGTTTCAACGGTTTTTTACAAGCTTTGTAAAAGGGGTCGATTCGGGTTGTATATGGGCTTGTTCATGATTTCTAGGAGATTTCTACCAAATCCTAAACCCTGAACCCCTAAACCCGCAGACCCTGAACCCTAGGCCCTAAACCTTAAATGCTAGACCCTAAACCCTAAACTCCGAATATCCGAACCTAGGACAGGCTCTTCGAGGCGATTGCGAGGCTGGGGGCTGTTCTTTGAGCCAGATGAAGTATAGTAGTAGTAGAGTAGGTAACCTTTAGCTGTTGTGTCGCTTAGGGTTTCAGGGATTCTAGGGGGTTTTAGGGGGGTTAGGGTTTAGGGTTGTCGAGTAGTGAACCCTAGAAAGTTGGAGCATGGGTTTTGGAGGACTAGTGCTAGGATCCCTCATAATTACCTTTGGCCATCCTTCATTCTCACGAACGGGACGCACATCTGCGATTTCGGGCAGTTGACCACTCGTATACGTGGAGGGGCAGCAGAGTGAGTTTATCCGTCACTGGATTGATTCACGCTCTGACGCAGAGGTTCGACCCTGTTGCTGCTGATGCCGAGCTTTTGAGCTTACCGAAGGCAAGGCCAAAACTCCTGGCATCATGTTTTCTTGGTATGAAGTGACGGAGGAGGATTGCCGTGGACTGCCGGCTCACTGGCTGCAGGGAGTGCTGTCTTGTGACTGTTGTCGCAGACTCTTGTATGGTGGTGGCAGGAGTTTGGCACCGGGAGCTGGTTCCGCAGGTTTGATTGGTGAACCTGTTTCCGTGCGTGGTTCTCGCTGCAGGCTGAATTTTTGACCAGCCGTCCTCCCGTGGTTCGTACCCTAAGAAGACACTGCGGCAAGCGCACTTCTCTTAACCGGGCTTTGCCGATTGACGCACCGGCCTGATTCTTGCCGTCAGGGCATGGGGATAATGATGTGCCAACTTTCTGGCTGGTACTATAGATCAAGCAGGGGTTATAAGGCTATGGGTTTTAGGTTTACGGTTTTGCAGCAAGGGTTTGGGGTTTAGGTTTAGTCTTTAGGGTTGGTACTTGAGATAGATGAGGTAGGTATTTGTTATTTGGGGGCTCGGGTTTGTAAGCCTTAAGCTTAATAGCAGGGTAGGTAGCCTTAACTTCTGTGGGGTATTACAATCCCTTAAAATATCTGAAAGATTATTTTTTCTTTGCCCTAGGATACCGGACAAGAAAGTACCTTGATTCTCCATCTACCATCTATTCGACCCTAAGTACCCATGATTTGAAACCATGTTTACATATTTGAGGGCAGCAGGACGGTCCTGGTAAGGGTTTAGCGTTTAGGGGTGGGTTTGGGGTGCAAGGTTTGGGGCTGTGGCGCCGGGGTTATCCCTAAACCCTAAACCCTAAATCCCGGGCTTCTGTCATGGTCTTCAGGAGCTCCGTAGAAGTCGGGGTGGGTGGATGTTGGGGGTGCCTACGATGGGGATACGACATTACGAAAATCCTTACTGGGTGTAAGCTCCTTTTCGTGGGATTGAGAGTTTAGGGGCTTACGGTGTCGGGTTTTGGGATGTTAATTGAGGTCCAGGGTGTGGGATGTAGCGTCGGAGCGTGCGGGATTTCTGGGCCAGCGCTAAACCCTACACCCCGAAACTGGGGTACACACAGCCAAACTATGAACTACTTCCTAAAGCTGTCCCGGAGCCTGCAAGTGAGGGGGCTTTGGAAGTTTAGGCTTTAGGGCTTTCATGGTGTAGCGTTTGGGGTTAGGGCTTGGAGGGCATCCCTGTATGTATGCTACTATGACATATACCCCAACGGCCTGATCCATACCAGGGCATCCCGAACCGCTGAACCCCTAAACCCTAAACCCTAAACCTTAGGGTTTAGGGTTTAGGGTTTAGGGTTGAAACCTTGTATCCCTTAACCCCATCTGAACCTATCGCCTCCCCTTGCCGCAGGCGAAGCCGGACGAGTCTTGACTGATAGAGGGGGCCGGGGTTTAGGGTTCAGGGCCTTGGTATTTCGACGAGATCTTCAGACTTCTGCACATACTCCCCGAAACCCTACCTGGACCCTAAGAAACCTACCTTTTTAGGGTTCCTGATTATGATTTCTTTATATAAGTCCTTACAAAGGTAGGTTATTTGGGGTCCAGGTAAACCCTAAACCCTGAACCTTAAATCCTAAACCCTAAACCCGAGGGCTCATTGGTGTTAAGCTCTGCTTTACGGCTTCGGAGTGCAGGGTGTCTCTTGTTTAGTGGCCTATGGCTTCAGGCTCAGCAGGTTTGGAGATACAGTTCCTAGCAGGAGATGGGAGTTTTCTTTTTCGCTTTGAAGCTTCGGCGGTGTAGGGTTAAGGCTGCAAGCATGAACCTTCAATACTCCAGCCCAAGCTGCAGACCGGAAAGTGCAAGCGCTTAACCCATCCCCCCCAGCTTCCGGTTTACAAGGTTTAAGGTCTAGGGTTTGCTGACGAAACGCGCGCGCGCGCGCGAAGGATCGCTAGGATAAGTTTGGCCAACCAGTACAGTACGGATCCTTGTTCACTTGCCATACTCTGTCCGTTGCGTGTGGTATTCTACGTAACCTTGTTTTATATTATAAACCCTAAGCCCTAAACCTTAAAACCCCCCAGCCCAAAGCCTTCAGCCCTAAACCCTCCTAAACCTCACACTCACACCTATAAACCTGAAACTCTGAACTTGAAGCCGTCCACCTTAAATCCTACCCTAAGGGTCCATGTATCCAAATAGATATACTTTGGCCTTATAATGTAGTCCCTATTTGGGTACTTTGGGGCCTCTGTATATCTATTTGGCTACATGGACCCTTAGGGCTAGGCCTTCACTCCGAAACCCGGCCGAGGATGCTGGCAGATTTCAATTCTTTGGACCTGGCAAACCTGGCTTTGGCACTCCGGACGCCTGGGCTCCAAACTCGTCGGCCGACAAAAGGTTTTGCCCACAAACCCCTAAGTGGTTCCTTTTTGTGGTTTGATTCTTAGAATCCTATAAGGTAATCCCGAAAAGGAACTACTTAGGGGCCTGTGGGTAGGGTTTATGGAGTTTCTGTGAGGTGTTTAGAGGGTGGTCGAGGCTTGGTGGGTGTTATGCGTTCCCAGATCTTCCCCAATCCCCTGG